CCCCCCCCCCCCCCCCCCCCCCCCCCCCCCCCCCCCCCCCCCCCCCCCCCCCCCCCCCCCCCCCCCCCCCCCCCCCCCCCCCCCCCCCCCCCCCGGTCCCCCTTGGCTTGCAACAACGTCAGCGGGCGGCTTTCCAGAGCCCGGCGCACAAGGAGGACTTCCCTTCCCCAGGCGCCCCTCCGCTTACCTCCTGCCGCTCGCCAGCTCCGCTCCCTCCTTCCCTCCCGAAGCTTGTTTTGAAATTCACCTTCCCCTTGCAGCTCCCCCGCCCCTGTTTAATTCCTAGGCTTTGTTTCAGATTTCTGCAATCCTAGTCCTATTACCGGCCTGGAGTGCCTATTATAGGCCCCGGCCTGGAGTGCCGGCTGGGAAGGGAGGCGCTCGCAAGCCGGCCCTACAGCGACGCTGGGAGATGCGGGAAGGCAGACGGCGGGCTGGGAGAGGGCGCAGGAGGCTCTGCTCCAACAAGAAACCGCTTGCCGCCGGCACACACGGTGGCACGGCGCTCTTCCGAGGCAGAGGACCGGCGGCGGCAAGCCATCGCCCCCCGCATGCCCCGCGCTCCCGGAGACGGAACGGTGGACGAGGGCTAGGTCGACTTTTGGTTCTTAAGGTTTAGCGACGGCCTGGAGCTGTCGTCGCGAAGTGGAGCCTCCATGAACAGATGCACTGTACCCGTGAAGATCATCACCTTCGTTACTTGCTTGCAAGCTTAACAGGGGGCATTGGGCTAGCCTCCGTGGGAAACGGTGTTTGACTCGATATTTAGTCTAATCCAGCAGAGTCGTTCTTGTATTCTCAAGTATGAGACGTAAAGGCTGGGAAATGGCCAGGGTGACTGACAGAATATACTAAGAAGCTGGAAAAGAGGCAGGCAGCTTTACAGTCACAGAGTTCAGAACAAACCAGGCCCATTCCTCACAGAGGCCAGGAGGCCAATCACACAATGCCTGTTTTTATGCTGCCCTTTCTCCAAGGATCTCAAGACAGCAACACATGATTTCCCCCTCCTCCATTTTGTCTTCAACAACAACAAGGCTGTGAGGAAGGTTAGGCTGAGACACTGCCTGGCAGAAATCTACCCTGCAGATAGGCACAGCCCACATTTAAAGAGGAACTGCCTGGTAAAGCTGACCTGGCGAGGCGTCAGACCGTTTTGGAAGGGGTTGTGCTCTCCCTGAAAGAGCAGGTTAGGAGTTTGGGGGTGGCAAATAAGGTTGGAAGGAAACTCTGGTTTCCTCCATGGCATGCAGACATTCTGCCACCTTCAGTGGGTACACCAACCATGTCTGTTTCTTGAAAAGGATGACTAGACCATGCTATTCTAGGTTTGCATGGCACCCAGCTTTGATTGGTGTAATACATTGAATGGAAGACTAAAAGACTATTGAAAGCCTTCAGTTAGAAGAAGAAGAGATTGGATTTATACCCTGCCCTTCACTACCCAAAGGTGTCGCAGAGCGGCTTACAAACTCCTTTCCCTTCCCCTCCCCACAACAGACACCCTGTGAGGTAGGTAGGGCTGAGAGAGCTCTGGCAGAAACTGCTCTTTTTCAAGGACAGCTCTTATCAGAACTACAGCTTGCCCAGGGTCATCCAGCCAGGTGCAAGTGGAGGAGAGTGGGGAATCAAACCTGGTTCTCCCAGATTAGAGTCTGCGCACTTAACCACTACACTTAACCACTACACCACTCTTAGTGCAAAAAAAGACTGTCAGGTTGAATATAGAGACTGTACCACCTTGAAAGATCTGCACTGGCTGCCTGTTTGCTTCCAGCCACAATTCCAACAGGTCTTGCCTATAAAGCCCCAAAGGGCAGGGAATTGGAAGGATTGCTTCCTTCCACACTGCCCTGCCTGCCAGTTAAGACATTCACCCCAAACCCTTCTTTCTGTACCTCTGCCCATGGAGGTGAGGCGGGGTGGCAATAGGAGATGGGTTTTTCAGTAGAGACACCTTGTTTGTCAGTCAATCAATTAATGGAATGTTCCCGGCATCCCCGGAAGTTTATCTGGTAGCAGCCCTTCCAGCTTTTAGACACCTAGTTAAGAGATTTTTATTTGCCCAGTCTTTTTATTGGAGGCTCCACCCACTTTTTATGAAGTTATAATTGTTGGTTTTAGTTGTATATTATATTGCTATTTAAATTGGGTTGCTAATATTGCTGATTGGGTGGATATTTTCGTCACTAGTTGAATTGTTTGTTTCTGATTTTGACATGGGCCCCTTCAAGCAATTCAAGAGGCAACAGCAAAGGGTAGTGAATGAACCCATAAATGTTTATAAAAGACACATACGGGCTTCTCCATCACAGCCATGAATCATAAATAGTTAACAATGCAATCCTGTGCTGAGTTACTCCAGTCTAAATCCATTGATTTCAATGTAAATACAGTCTAAATCCATTGATTTCAATGTAAATATCCTTGACTTTTTACCCCAATATCTTAGAATTGCTCTATACGTATAGTTATACCCTTCCAAGAACATTTTCAGTGGATTTAGAGTAGTTCAACTCTGCTTAGGAATTTCAGTGTTAATATCACAGCATTACAGGCAAAAAATAAATAAATTGGCAAGTGTGGTAAAAGGATGTGTACAAACATCTTGAGTGTGTGTGTGTATACTGATGTAAAGGTGTTTTTCTGGCCTTTCATGAAATATGTCATATTTCCACAAAGTACACCCAGTACACTGCAGTTAACCCCTGGAAGTGAGAGGCTTCCTGTCCTTGCAATCAAACTAACTCTTCTGCTGTGTTTCACCCATGATGGCATACATGTTATCCCTACACAAAGAATAACTGGCTGACTGTACATGGGGTGACTGGCAGCTGAATGTGTGAACTGACTCCCTTGAGAAGTATGAAAAGCTTTGCTTGCAGGATTCAATCTGGCCCCTCCACGTCAGTTGCAGGGCCATCCTAAGCAGAGTTACACCTTTCAAATCCCATCGGCTTGGAAGAGTGTAACTCTGCTTAGGACTGCATGTGCAATGTTGCCAAGATGCATGTACACTTTACCCTATGGAGCTTTATGCATGCATGCGGTGGCTGCAGCTCTGGATGCAGACAGGCACAGTGGCTTAGTTTTAACAAGAGCCAAGGGCCTCCCCTCCCTCCCCACTGTTTGCTTTGCATGTTTGCAGACATTTGTTTGGAGACAGATTCAGGTGGGTAGCCGTGCTGGTCTGAAGCAGCAGAACAACGCTGGAGTCCAGTGGCACCTTTAAGACCAATAGAGTTTCACTCAAGGTATAAGCTTTCGTGTGCAGGCTGAAGAAGTGTGCATGCACTTGAAAGCTTATACCTTGAATAAAACTCAGTTGGTCTTAAAGGTGCCACTGGACTCCAACGCTGTTCATTTGTTTGAAGAGACACACCTACAGAGCAAACAGAAGGCTAAGTTGTTTGTAGGAAGGGGTGCAGGAATGCCATTTTACTAAAGCTCCTCTAATAACAAGGAAAACAGAGGCTTGCCATGATATCAGTCCCAGCTGCTCTAGTGACCTGGTAGCTTTTAAAGCTCTGCATTTTTCAGGAAGTTCCCTCACCCCCACCCCCGATATTCCTGAACACAAGACAAAAACTTGACAGCTCACCAAAAATGTAGTGAAAACCGGAACATAGTTTTTAAAAGAGAGAGAGAGAATCTCATTTGTATGTGCTTTTTAACCCCCTAAATATAATCCAAAATTAATCCAAGATTTGATTATGGGGGCAGGGAGACGACAGACCTGGACAAGATTTAAAGTGTGGAGAAAACTACCCCCAGCACAGGGTGTAAATATCCTATAAATGTGTCTGTGTGTGTGTGTTTAGCGCTCTTGTACATATTAACCAATACAACTGAGGTAAGTGTGATTTTTAAAACTTAACCCAAACGGAATAGGATTGTCCCTTTCCCATATTTCTGATTTCATTAAAGAGGTATAACTAGGGTTGCCAAGCTCCAGGTGGCACCTGGAGATCTCCCACTATTACAGTTGATTTCCAGATCACAGAGATCAGTTCCCCTGGAGAAAATGGCTGCTTTTGAGCATTATACTTTGCTTAGTTGCCCCCTCCCCAGGCTCCACCCACAAAATATCCAGGTGGTTCCCAACCCAGAACTGGCAACCCTAGGTGTAACTTAACTAGTTGTTAACTTGGACTGGGATTTTAAAAGGCCCAAAAAATGGACCAGCCTGCCATTCCTCCCATCCAAACCTCCTTTTCGTTGTCAACTTACAGTAAATTACAATCATAAAAGCACACTCAAGGTAGCATCTCTTTCCCACTCTCCATTGAGCAGCCTGTCTTCAGAGATGGGATTAAAAAATTATCACTGCTAACCACCTAATCCTTCGTTTTCCTGTACATGATAGACATGGACATAGAAAGATGTCGTCTCAAAGGACAGCACACCTATTTCATTTTTGTCTGCCCTGAACAATACTTCACTTGTGCAATATAATGGATTCACACATTATTTTAAAACTTTTGTTAACCTCCTTTCTCCTTTGTGGAATTCAAGGTGGCTTACGATACAAATAAAACAACCGAGACTGATGAAACCCGCCCTGAGCCTGCTTGTAGGGAGGGCGGGATATAAATTTAATAAATAAATAAAAACACAATAAAAACAATAACTATAAAACCCACAAAAGTCACAATTTAAAAACTCCAATTAGGACTGCCAATAATAAAAGCTAAACAATCAAATACAGCCCTAAATGAAACTGTCTTCAACTGTCTCCTGAAGATTGACAGTGAGGGGGCCAGGCACACCTTTTTGGGGAAGCTGATCTATATCTGAGGGGCTGCCACAGAAGAGGCCCTCTCTTATTTAACCACCAAATAAGCATCTTTCATTGCTGAGACAGTAAGGAGGGCCTCTCCCTGCGATTTTGATTCCTGGGCAGGAACATATGGGAGAAGATGGTCCTTCAGATCCTCGGTCCCAAGCCATGTAGGGGTTTAAAGGACAAAACCAGCACCCTGAACTGGGCTCAGGAGCAGATCACTAGCCCGTGTAATTGCTGTAATAAGCGGGTTATATGCTCCCAGCAGCTGGCCAAACTAGCAGTCTAGCCACAGCATTCTGCTTTATCTGCTTTATCGATCAGCTGGCTGGTGGGGGGACTTGCCAGTAGAAAGAAGGCCTAGGCCACATTGCTGGCGTTGCACAAGAAGTGACGTTATCACTCCAGCGATTTCTGGGTATTTGGGCAAAAGCTATG